TGGGACAGAGTAGCAGCACTAGCAGCGCATCTCACAGATCACCAAGGTAATTGTAAAACAGTGGTCCTGTGCTATAGTGCATCTCACAGATCACCAAGGTAATTGTAAAACAATGGTCCTGTGGTATAGTGCATCTCACAGATCACCAAGGTAATTGTAAAACAATGGTCCTGTGGTATAGTGCGTCTCACAGATCACCAAGGTAATATGTAAAACAATGGTCCTGTGGTATAGTGCGTCTCACAGATCACCAAGGTAATATGTAAAACAATGGTCCTGTGGTATAGTGCGTCTCACAGATCACCAAGGTAATATGTAAAACAATGGTCCTGTGGTATAGTGCATCTCACAGATCACCAAGGTAATATGTAAAACAATGGTCCTGTGCTATAGTGCATCTCACAGATCACCAAGGTAATATGTAAAACAATGGTCCTGTGGTATAGTGCATCTCACAGATCACCAAGGTAATATGTAAAACAATGGTCCTGTGCTATAGTGCATCTCACAGATCACCAAGGTAATATGTAAAACAATGGTCCTGTGGTATAGTGCATCTCACAGATCACCAAGGTAATATGTAAAACAATGGTCCTGTGGTATAGTGCATCTCACAGATCACCAAGGTAATATGTAAAACAATGGTCCTGTGCTATAGTGCATCTCACAGATCACCAAGGTAATTGTAAAACAATGGTCCTGTGCTATAGTGCATCTCACAGATCACCAAGGTAATATGTAAAACAATGGTCCTGTGGTATAGTGCGTCTCACAGATCACCAAGGTAATATGTAAAACAGTGGTCCTGTGCTATAGTGCATCTCACAGATCACCAAGGTAATTGTAAAACAATGGTCCTGTGGTATAGTGCATCTCACAGATCACCAAGGTAATATGTAAAACAATGGTCCTGTGGTATAGTGCGTCTCACAGATCACCAAGGTAATATGTAAAACAATGGTCCTGTGGTATAGTGCGTCTCACAGATCACCAAGGTAATTGTAAAACAATGGTCCTGTGGTATAGTGCATCTCACAGATCACCAAGGTAATTGTAAAACAATGGTCCTGTGGTATAGTGCATCTCACAGATCACCAAGGTAATATGTAAAACAATGGTCCTGTGGTATAGTGCGTCTCACAGATCACCAAGGTAATATGTAAAACAATGGTCCTGTGGTATAGTGCGTCTCACAGATCACCAAGGTAATATGTAAAACAATGGTCCTGTGGTATAGTGCGTCTCACAGATCACCAAGGTAATATGTAAAACAATGGTCCTGTGGTATAGTGCGTCTCACAGATCACCAAGGTAATATGTAAAACAATGGTCCTGTGGTATAGTGCGTCTCACAGATCACCAAGGTAATATGTAAAACAATGGTCCTGTGGTATAGTGCGTCTCACAGATCACCAAGGTAATATGTAAAACAATGGTCCTGTGGTATAGTGCGTCTCACAGATCACCAAGGTAATATGTAAAACAATGGTCCTGTGGTATAGTGCATCTCACAGATCACCAAGGTAATTGTAAAACAATGGTCCTGTGGTATAGTGCATCTCACAGATCACCAAGGTAATACGTAAAACAATGGTCCTGTGGTATAATGCATCTCACAGATCCCCAAAGTAATATGTAAAACAATGGTCCTGTGGTATAGTGCATCTCACAGATCACCAAGGTAATATGTAAAACAATGGTCCTATGGTATAGTTTGTGGTAGAGGCAAAGAAGAGAGAGTGAGATTATGAAATAGCAAAACTTTAGGATTAGTTATTAATAAGTGCTTGGCTTTAGAATGTTTATTTTAGAGTGACAAAAATTCTTTGCTTGGACAAATTTTAGTTAGGCTTCCGAAGTTTCTTCTAAGCCCATCTGTGCACTTCCTTGTAAAATCCAGTTTTAGCAAAGAACATTGCATTACTGCGGAGTCTGTTTAGCCAGAACTCCCATCCTTGATCTCTGATTATCCTCTATATCCCATCCGGTTCCTCATCCCCCATCATCTCCCAGGTGATGTCTGATCACCTTGGCCTGTCTTCAGCAAGAATCCTCTTAGGCAGATCTGGCTAGAACCCTCCTTACCTCTGCCGTTTCTTCTAAGTAGTTTTCCATCTGCTGATTCCCCTACACTGCTTCCTGGCTATAAATTGCTTCTTGCTCATGGCTGTATTTGGAGTTGAGCCCAATCTCTCACCAACACTGCAAGGCCCCATAGCAGTGGTCCCTATACCTGACACGATGGTCCTGAATAAGGTCTTCCTTACCATGCAGTAACAAGAACCATTAATTAGCTTTTTCTTTAACAGGAGCCACATTTTGAACTTTCTTTTTTTGAGACGGAGTTTCGCTCTTGTTGCCCAGGCTGGAGTGCAATGGAGCAATCTCGGCTCACCGCAACCTCCGCCTCCTGGGTTCAGGCAATTCTCCCTCCTCAGCCTCCTGAGTAGCTGGGATTACAGGCACGCACCACCATGCCCAGCTAATTTTTTGTATTTTTAGTAGAGACGGGGTTTCACCAGGTTGACCAGGATGGTCTCGATCTCTTGACCTCGTGATCCACCCGCCTCGGCCTCCCAAAGTGCTGGGATTATAGGCTTGAGCCACTGCACCCGGCCCATTTTGAACTTTCTATTTCATGTAATCATGGTACCATTGAATATATGAATAGAACTTAAGAAATACTACATTGTGTTCCGTTTAATGGTTTCTTTAGGAAATAAGCCCAAAGCCCAAGTTAGATCCATCCTGTTGAGAACATCTGACAGATTTCTCTGATTAATGGCCACTATTCCACTCTGGTTCTTGAGACTTTTTGAACGTATACATCCTCATCTGAAAAGTGTGTGCATGTGTGTGTGTGGTGGGGCAATGGATATCTGTGTGTGTGTGTGTGTGGTGGGGCAATGGATATCTGTGTGTGTGTGTGTGTGTGTGTGTGTGTGGTGGGGCAATGGATATCTGTGTGTGTGTGTGTGTGTGTGTGTGTGGTGGGGCAATGGATATCTGTGTGTGTGTGTGTGTGTGTGTGTGGTGGGGCAATGGATATCTGTGTGTGTGTGTGTGTGTGCTGGGGCAATGGATATCTGTGTGTGTGTGTGTGTGTGCTGGGGCAATGGATATCTGTGTGTGTGTGGGGGGGGCAATGGATATCTGTGTGTGTGTGTGTGTGGTGGGGCAATGGATATCTGTGTGTGTGTGTGTGTGTGGTGGGGCAATGGATATCTGTGTGTGTGTGTGTGCTGGGGCAATGGATATCTCTGTGTGTGTGTGTGTGTGTGTGTGTGTGTGTGTGTGTAGAGCGGCATAATGGACTATGATGGCATGATATTAGTACAAACCTCAGAAAGTTCTTGTGGTAACAGAGATGATACCTCATGGTGGTCTCATTCCTGCACTCCCTTTTACATATTAGTCTTCTTGCTTATAATCCTGAATAGTACAGTTCATGTTCTCTTTTCCTATTTGCATTTTGAGAAGATACTGCAAACGTACTTTTGGACTAGTGTTTTCTGGCTCATTGATAATTTGCAATATCTACCTCTACCTTTAGCCTTTGTCTCCTTATGTGAAAGATATGTAATATGCACATTAGGTAGGGCAAGGGGAGAAAGGTCCCTTGAAGCAGTTGAGTTCTAGGTCAAGGTCTGTAGGGGAAAACACGTTTTTCTGTCAGTGTAATGAGTCAGTCATCTTGGGAGTGCTCAGGAAAGGAAGCTAATAAGTTATACAATGAACTGTGATTCCTTAATCCATTTAGCATATTTATTCCTTCATTTAATTCAACTCTAGGGGCTCCTCATTCTCAAGTAAAGGCTTATCTCAGCATTCTATGGCTTTCTAGTGCTCCAAACAACCCGATTCCTAAGTTCATCGTATCAATTTGCAATTTCTCATTGTTTGAATTTCAATAAATGATTAATTTAATTCCTGGGAGGAATGGAAACATCCCAAATAGCTCTCATATAGCAGACATCTTTTCTGCTGTATTACATATCCAACGTACTCCACGTGAATTGATAATTAATTTTTGCCTTTAGGAAAGAAAACGCATTTGTAAGACACCAAGAACCACCAAATCTGACTCTTTTAAAAACAGAAGGCCAGATTTTTAGAAAAATAGGACTGGGCCCCAGGTTCTCAGGGCACCTGAAAGCAAGGTCCACTCTGGGCTCAAGTTGCACGGTGTCACTGGGGATTGATCTGGCGCGTGCATTCCTTCTGCTAGCCACTCACAGGACTACTGAGCTGCACGCTGCCTGCCTGTCCCTCAGTCTCCTCTGTGCACAGCTGACTCACGCATCCTTCAAAACTCTTCTCAGTTGTGACTTGTGGGGGGTAGTTTTTCACTTTATATTCTTTACATTTTTAAGTTTTTTATTTCAGCAAGAATGCGTTACTTTTACAGTCAAAATGAAAATTTAAAAAATGCATCAAAAGTAAAACAAACAAACAAACACAAAACCCTTCAACCCTCTGCTTGGTTGTTTCCTTCCATGGGATGTTTTTTTTTCCAACCAGTTTCCAAGTCCCCTTTCCCCTTCATCCATGTTACTCATGCTCAGCTCCTTCTTCCTGTGAACTCCTCTGGACTCTCACCATTCATTTTAAGCTGAGGCCTTATTCTATACAGTGTAGTCATTACATGTTCACTTATCTATTGTTCTCATTAGATTATCAGCTCTGCAAGAGCAGGATGTTTAAAATTTTCTAACATCTATCTTAGTACCTGGCACATCATAGGTGCTTAGCAAATTCCCTCAAATGAAGAATGAAAGAGAAAAGAACATGACCCTCCTATGAAGAGCAAGGGAGATTATAGTGCAATCGAAAAGTCATTCCCACTCACTTCTGTCCCCTCTGGCTGTTGGTAACACTCATACAACACACCTATCCCAGGAGAGGTCAGCCTGGCTTCCTGCAAGTGCCTCCTTGGCATTGCCCTGTAGGACTATTCTTAGGTGGGACTGGTGAGTCCGTCCTTGTTTCCTCTCCTTTACCTGAGTGCAGTACTGCTTTTCAAGCCTCTGGCTCTCCTTTTGCTTCTGGCAGGTCAGCGACACCACAGACACAATGGTGCTGTTGTAGTTTTCTTGGGAAGATGTCCAGGACATCAAGGCAGTGGTTGAGCTTAAAACGTGGACACTCACGTGCTGGGGCTTCTCAGTCAGTTCTTCGATCCACTCTCCTGAAGGACCTGCACATTTCAAATTGGAACACAGGGGAGGCTGCACACTGCACTGATTGAGACAAGAGATCCTGGTTTAAAAAAATCATGTTGTTTACTTTTTACCCTTACAAAGAGATTCAGTGTAAGATTCTTGGGCAGACTGGCAACTCTTCAGGTCCTCTGCCCATCTGCAATCCTCTAAACAGCAGCCTCAGCAATAACAGCAGAAATGGAAGCGCCACTTCAATGTGAGAGTTTCCTGGTAAATTCTTCACCAGAGAAAATTTACTTCTTTTTAACAAAGAGTGATCACGGCGGTGTGGCATTTCATCAGGGTTTATAATTCCTTTGCTACTAGGATCTTTGGTCTCTAGAAATAATTACTTTAAGATTCAAATAAGCCTCGACTTACTATCCTGTGAAAACCTTTGAATTTGGCAACTGTGAGAACAAAAAGGCAGGCTGTGACTATATTAAAGATGTAACAGTCAACAGGCTGGCTCCATCAAAGAACCTGGCTAAAACTGGGTGATCATTTGAGGGACACAACAGGATCCTTACCATAAAATATCTCCAGAGAGATGCCCAGCCTTAGCTTTTTCTCTTATGTGCCTAAAGTGGTTCTTAACACAGTGCCGGACACCTAGTAAGGACTGAAGACATGTTAAGGTGATTATTATCTACAGATATTCCCTGCTGAAATACCAGTGTGAAACTTCCATTCATTCGCTACGATGCATTTCTCAGCTCCTTAATTAAATGCTGCATTCCTAGGCTGAAACCCGGGAGAGGAAAAGAAGCAAGTGGCTCTCCTGGGAAGGACAGACCAAGATTCCATACAAATGGTGCAGGGGAAATGATGACAAACAATGGCATTAATTATAGTAAAGAGATATGGAACTCATTGTGCATTTATATATTTGTTCCTGGCAGGTCAGTGACGCCGCAGACATGGGATGTTACTTTAGTTCTCTTGGGAAGATGTCCAGGGCATCACAGTAGTGGTTGAGCTTAAAATATGGGCGCTCACATGTAAATCCCTTCCAGCATGTAAACTGCTTTAGGTTTATATGTGTTACATATTTTATTCTTTTAATTAATTAATTAATTAATTAATTTTGAGATGGAGCCTCACTCTCTTGCCCAGGCTGGAGTGCAGTGGAGCAATCTTGACTCACTGCAACCTCTGCCTCCTGAGTTCAAGTGATTCTCCTGCCTTAGCCTCCTGAGTAGCTGGGATTACAGGTGCCCAAAACCATGTTGGAGTCATATTTGTATTTTTAGTAGAGAGAGGGTTTCACCACATTGGTCAGACCAGTCTTGAACTTCTGACCTCAGGTGATCCACCCACCTCAGCCTCCCAAAGTGCTGGGGTTACAGATGTGAGCCACTGTGCCCAGCGCCTTTAACTTTTACAAGCCAATGATATAAGTACTGTTATTAAATCTCACTTTTCAGATGAGAAAGCTGAGGCCGAGATAGGGTAAGTAGAGCTAGGATTCACACACAGGAAGCCTGATTCCAAAATCCATGCTCTCAACCCTGCATGAGACTTCCTGAAGCACTATGAAATAGTGAAAATTTGGACATGGAATAATTGCACCAAAATTCAGTTTAGTCTTTATTAGTGATGCAACTTTGGACAAATGAATTAACTTCTCTGAATCTCAGTCATTGCATCTGTTAAATGGACAAACCATGGAATTTTAGTATTAACAGAACTTTAGAGACCCATTGCCTTATTTTGCTGATATGGTTTGGCTCTGTGTCCCCACCCAAATCTCGTCTCGAATTGTAATCCCCACTTGTGGAGGGAGAGACCTGATGAGAAGTAACTGGATCATGCAGGTGGTTTCCCCCATGCTGTTCTCGAGATAATGAGGGAGTTCTCATGAGATCTGATGGTTTAAAAGTGGCAGTTTCTCTTGCTCTCTCTCTCTCTGTCCTGCTACCCTGTGAAGAAGGTGCTTGCTTCCCCTTCGCCTTCAGCCATGTTTGTAAGTTTCCTGAGGCCTCCCTGGCCATGCAGAACTACAAGTCAATGAAACCTCTTTCCTTTATAAATTACTCAATCTCAAGTAGTTCTCTATAGCAGTGTGAAAATGGACTAATACATTTGCCGATGAGGAAACTGTCACATCACAGATATAAATGAGCTGCCTGAAGTCACAGAGCTAGTAAGTGCTTGTGACCCAACCCAGACCTCCTGTCTTCTGAGTCAGTGCTTTGTGACAATCTGATTATTTACTTCATAAGGTTGTTCTTGGGATCAAATGAGGTAATATGCATTAGAGAACTATACAAACGTGGAGTGTTACTACGGTTCTGAAGACTACTGGTGTGGTGGGGACACAGAAGGCGAAGATGGAGAAAGCAAGACAAATTCAACTATTTAATAGTTTTACCTTGTGACTGACCTGATAATCAACCCAAGGAAATGGGTCATTGAAGGCTACATGAAAATGGATTTTGTTATCAAATATTCCCGAGTTCTAATCTTAATTTTCATACTTGGGAAAGTCACTGAAATGTCTGCAATTCAGTTTTTTTTTAATGTGAAAAATGGGGATAATAAAAATGTTTCCTTTATAAGACTATTGGTCAGGAAAAATGGGCCGTAAATATACTTTAGCTGGTCTGTGACTACATTATGATGAACCAAAGCAAGCCACCCTAATTCGTTGCTCACTTGCCCAGTTAGGTATAAGTATTTATATCTGCGCTATCCATTTTTTAAATCACAGAAGTATACACAGTACATCTGAATAGCTCATTACCACAGAACAGAATATCCTAAGCACTTAAAAAGTCATTCTTTTAGCAACAGAGAGAAAACACAACTTCTGGGAGCCTGTATTTTTCTAGATAAATATTAAGATGCATCTTTTTAAAGTAATCACAGTTTTGAGCAATTCCAACATATTCTCAATGGCACTAGTCACTTTGGATACTCTCAGAGCAGAGTGCATAAAAGATATGAGTGGTGCCATAAATATTTCTTGAATGTACAAAAGAATGAATAAATACTCAAACAGTGTAACTGCAGCCTAAGATTTTATAATTTGACATGAGAAGCAAGATGTACATAAAATAAATCTAGAAAAATACCACACACTAATAAGTGATGTGTTTTGTGCTGTGTACCATGAGACAGAACAGGAATTCAGAAAAGAGAAAAATTAGAAAGACCAGAATTGTTGCAGGAGTTTTCATGGAGGCTGTTCATACATGCAATGAATCTGTACTGGTGAACAAAGAGTCTGTTTAGTCCGTGAGGCATTTTTAATCTTATGGAAAGAACAAAATACTCAACTTTGTTCTGTTTCTTACGTAATCACATGTCCAAGATCTCTCACACTTGAAGGACACACAAGGCAACTGGAAATACCTTTTCTATGCATCTGATAAATCTTTAGGCCTTTCTTTTGCCAGAGGTGACATTTTTGTTTTTCTTTTAAGTAAAAATATTATATGGGACATTTTCAACATTTTTTTTTTTGAGACGGAGTTTCGCTCTTGTTACCCAGGCTGGAGTGCAATGGTGCGATCTCGGCTCACCGCAACCTCCGCCTCCTGGGTTCAGGCAATTCTCCTGCCTCAGCCTCCTGAGTAGTAGGGATTACAGGCACGTGCCACCGTGCCCAGCTAATTTTTGTATTTTTAGTAGAGACGGGGTTTCAGCATATTGACCAGGATGGTTTCGATCTCTCGACCTCGTGATCCACCCGCCTCGGCCTCCCAAAGTGCTGGGACTACAGGCTTGAGCCACCGCGCCCGGCCCAACATTTTTAAGCTGCTTCATAAACTGAGCTCCTCTTCTGCTCTCATCCACCTTCAATGAAAGGTGTTATTTTTCTTTTCCAGATGGCAGTAGGATATGTGGTGGTTATCCTTTTCTAAGGGTAATTTTTATTCTTTGCCTTCTGCTTTTTCTTTCTGCTGATCAGAGGCACATATAACTCCTGATAGGGTAGGTTACTGATTTTTGACCTCTATACTTCCAGTAAACGTAATCAGTTTAGCTAAATATATTATAGAGGCAGGCACTGTTGGTGTAGCCTTCAGAGCCTAGTTTTTGCTGTGCTGTTACCCTTATGGAATCAGTAAAGGCTACCCTAGGACTTGACACTGGGGCTTTTAGGATGCTCCAGCTATGACTTTTTCCACCAATTTTTTGGAGACTGTCTGGGTGTAGTCACACTTGAATCTTTGTCTTTCTTTTGAGCCCCACAGGCTCAATACTCTAATGGATTTTTCACAGTTTTATTTTATCATTTCATTATGGCCTCAAATAAATGTCACATTTTCCAAACTGTATGTCCACATCCTTGGAGAGTTTGTTATGGCTAATGTGGAAGGTCAATTTAATAAACGTTCAATTATCGCAATAGTAAAAAAATCCTCAAGTTAAACCTATGGATAGGATTGCTACTATTACACATGCATATATTACCTCTTCTATCCAAACCTTATGGATCTCAGCCTTTCCTGACCTTGAAGTCTTCTCAGCATCCCTAAGGTTTGTGATAATTGACATCTGTGCATCATTAATCTCACCAATTCCATTATTCTACCTCCCCAGTTAAGTGTCAAATGATCCCTTTGTTACTTACTGATATAAAAGCTGAGTGATTTTGCTGACTGACTTTTTCGAGTTTCACAAGATCCTGAGGAACTAAAGGTTGCCACAGATAACTTATATTTCCCAGGTTCCTTCAGTTCTGCAACAAATTCATGTGCTTCTTCATCCACTGTCAAATATTCAGTAAAGTTCTCTAAATCATATATAAAAAAGAGAAGATATATGAATTGACACCTGGAAAGGCCCTGGGTATAGACAAGTCAATTAATGTAAAAAATAGGTATTTTAGATGTTCCCTACTTTTGTCAAGTTCAATTACACCTCTAAACTAAAGGTACTATTAAAGCATAATGAATAAGAGTTCAAAATTTTACAATCCTCCACATAACAAAACTAAAATATGGTGTTTAACTTAATAAAACTAGGAATGGTTATACACAGTATATCTTTATGTACTCCTACCTAACAAAATTATATGTACAAAATAGAAGCAGATAGTCAGGAAAAGATAACAATTGTTGACTTTCTCATCATGATGTAAGGGCTAAAAAATAACCAGCATCAAATATCTTGTAAGTTCTTCGTGGCAGCATTAACAATCCAGAAATGCTTTAATACATATTTAAAATATATCTCAACCATTTTGTGCCTAACTTTTTAAGATATAGTTTCTGATGTATCACAGAACTTAAGGTAAAATAAGAAATAATGATAATAGTAATATTTTTCCTTCCTCGATTTGCTTTCAGAACTTCTTAAAGAAAGAAATATTTCACACTGTGTCACAGTTAACCCATCTTCTGCGGCTTATTACTTCATTTGAAGTCATTATCAGCATTGGTGACTACAACAGTCTTCAAAAGAAGACACTGTAGTCAGATAAAAACATAATAGAACTGTCATGAGAAGAGGCAGTTAAATATTTTTGTAATTGCAAGATTCTATTTGCCATGGGAACATACTTAGGAACGGAAAAATAAAATATATTAGGGAAACTTAAAAAAATACAGGCAATTCCAGGAAAATGGCTTTTGACTCAAATAATTAAGAATTTTCATTTCATGTCATATTTGGGTGTGGTGGAATGCTTTATCATCCTTTGTAGAAGAATCCACAGATTTTGTATCTCATTTTATTAAGTAAAATAGGAGTACAGAGTGTGCCAGTATGAGACTACATGGGCCTGAAAGCCTTATTCTAAAAATAAGGCTATCATCGTAACTTTAAATTTTTATAAATTATAACCTCTGCAACCGAAACTACTAGATTGGAAAATGGAAAATGAAGTACATTGCTGTAAAAACTAAATAAATATCAAATAACCATAAAAATCTACCAAACAACTATTGAGATGGGAATCATGACCCAGACTTGTTGAAAGTCATGGCTCTATTTTCCTAAGTCACTGGGCTAAAATAAAAGGAGTGACTCTCAGACGCTATGGTAGCTATATGGAAATGGCAGTTGCTGGGTATTTTCCGTTTTATTATCAGCTTCTCTTTGGTAAACTGTGGTTCTGGTTCCAGAGGGGCACACCCTAAAGGGAACAAGAGAGGCTGGTTAGCAGGACACAAGCCTCCTATTCTTGAGGAAGTAGTAATGTTTTCGTAAGTATTACTTTGATGCCATGTTTCAGAAATTTGCATATAAGAAAACAGAAAATTTCTCTAGGATATGCTGTAATTTTCTGGGATAGTCAGATCTTTAATTCCAAATATTTCCAGAGATGATATTTTCCTCGTTGTTCTGAGGCATGTGAAATGTTGAGCAGTAAAATGTATACAGTTGGCAGTACTTACAACTTATGAATCACTTAAACCTTCTGATTCTTATCCGGTCTATTCATTTGGGTTTTCTGCTCTCAGTCTGCATTGGATACCCAATTAAATTCTTCCCTTCCTTTACCATTATTCTTTGGATATTAACTGTCTATGATCAGTCTTTCTAAACTCATATTTTAAAACATTTCAATATCCCTTCCTTTGCATCAGTTCTATTTCCTCTGATTTCCTACTGCTTTACCTTCTCGTTCAATACGGATATGGAACCCATCAAAAGCAGTGGGTGGTTTGGGTGGTAACCAGGTCAATATCATATGCACAGGGAAAAAGGAGAAAGAGCCCGACGTTGACTTCTCTGTCTCACTGAGCGTACTGTTATTTTCGTATTCCATGGGAAGTACACTGACAAATTCATCTTCACTTTCAGGAGCTGCAGATGCACTGTCCCACCAATAGGGCTGGGATGTAGTTTCATAGTCACGGCTGTTAAAATCAGGCCAACCGGAAGAATTGTTGCCGGAGGGAATTTCAGGGGTTTCTTCTGTGAAATGGAAGAGTTTTTCTTTTTCTGTTGTGTCTTGCGATCTCATGAAGGATTCCTCTGGGAAATTCCCACTCTGTTCTTCCCAGCTGTTTTTGTTCAAGTTTACGATACGAACAGAAATATTTTGAGGTGGATAAGGGGCTGTAAGAGAGAGAATTTTCATTTTCAAGTAATTTTTAGTTCAATTATAGTGAATACTTAATCTCTTCATGAGTCAGGTACACAAGCAGATTTTTAAAAATGGAATTTAATTTTATTTCTAATACGTAGACAAATTTACATGAAGATAAAGTGTGTCTTTTTCCATATACATACTTCTAAAATTTTGTGGATGATGTGTACCTATTAATATATCACTTCAGATATATTAACTTGCAATATTATGCTTGTTGAAGTGGTGATTTAACCACTTCTAAAAGCAGAGTATGTAAATATTTTTCAGTTTATCATAATCTCAATTACAAAAAATGAATCTCTGTTTCTGGATTTTTATTATAAAAAGAAAAAACAAGTATAGTGTATTTACAGCTATCAAGGTGAAAATACTTCATGTGACACAGTTGCACCTAGAAGAGTTGCATACATGTGTTGCCCTTAGAGATGTTAACACTCATGTTAAAAATATGACTTCACTCCCCACCTCTCCTCTCCAAAATGACACATATGAGCACAAAACGAATTTATAAATTATGGGAGCACACTTTACTTATGGGGGAAAATTATGAAGACACACTGCATAGTCTTTGCCTGTAACAATTTCTTTTTTTTTTTTTTTGAGACGGAGTTTCGCTCTTGTTACCCAGGCTGGAGTGCAATGGCGCGATCTCGGCTCACCGCAACCTCCGCCTCCTGGGTTCAGGCAATTCTCCTGCCTCAGCCTCCCGAGTAGCTGGGATTACAGGCACTCGCCACCATGCCCAGCTAATTTTTTGTATTTTTAGTAGAGACGGGGTTTCACCATGTTGACCAGGATGGTCTCGATCTCTTGACCTCGTGATCCACCCGCCTCGGTCTCCCAGAGTGCTGGGATTACAGGGCCTGTAACAATTTCTACTTGTCCTTCATTAGCAGTTCAATTATCACCTCTTTCATGAACTTCCTTTTGTTTTTTTTTTGAGGTGAAGTTTTGCTCTTTTTGCCCAGGCTGGAGTGCAATGGCATGGTCTCGGCTCACTGCAACCTCTGCCTCCTGGGTTCAAGTGATTCTCCTGCCTCAGCCTCCCAAGTAGCTGAGATTATATACTCCTGCCAGCACACCCAGCCAATTTTTGTATTTTTAGTAGAGACAGGGTTTCACCATGTTTGCCAGGCTGGTCTCGAACTCCTGATCTTAGGTGATCCACCCACCTCGGCCTCCCAAAGTGCAGGGATTACAGGCATGAGCCACTGCGCCTGGCCACATGAGCTTCTAACAAAATTTATCTCTCTTTCCTGTGTGTTGTTAAATCACTGTGTACCTCTTTTACAATATTTATCTCAGTCTGCCTTGTATGACAGCCATTTGTGTGGTACTTGTACCATTTTTTTAGGACAAAGACCCTATCTCATCAGTCTTATCTTCATCTCTCAATATTTAGAACAACTTCCAAGTAGAATGTATTCAATTAATGTTTTTACTTCTTACCTGGAATAATGAAAAACACAAATAGAATCTTAAATGTTGACATTAGGTGAATTCGTGATTTAGCTGAAACAGTTTCCTGGTCTTAGACTGATGAATAAGAATGATGACAGCTTAGAATTTCAAACTGCCAAGGCTTTAGAAGTAATCTATCATAATCCCTTCCTGAGACTCACAAGAATGGCCTCTCCAGCATTCCTATTGAGTACTCAGGCACATTAGGCACATACAGTGTTGCTTATTTTTGTGATGGGTACTTATTAATAATGCTTATTTTATCCATCCATTCTTCCATTCTTCCATCCATCCATCCATCCATCCATCCTACAATAGTGCTTCATATTAGTGATGCTACAAAAATTAAATACTGCAAGTTGTAGATACATTTGAATTTCAATATCTTCCTTTAATAATCTGATAATGTGTATGTCTTCTCTCTCTTTTTCTGCCATAGGGCCAATTGTCCGCAATAACTGATGTCTACCAGATCCAGGTGAGTTACTTAATTATAACCTTTGGTAATATCATGTAGCTTTATATTCAAATATTACAAATCTATGATTGCATTGACATGTTTTAGATTTTTCTTATTGAATATTTTGGTCAGTTCTTTTTACATTGATAGAAAATTATTTTAGGTTATTAAACATATATATTTTCTTTCTTTGGTCTGCATCAGAATATTTGTTAGGATAAAAAATAAATATGCAGCAAAATATAATTGAATTAGCTTTTCACTATATTTGATTCTTCAGGAGACTTACCAGTTCTGTGCTGTTTGGGTTCATGACTGACACCACTGTACTCAACAAGGGTACTTTTATTAAAAGTTGCTTCAGATACCAGCTGAAAGGTGATATTACTATAACAGATTCCTGGCAGCCAGTGATTAAATACTGTTTTTCCCTTAAAGAAGTCTGTGAAGAGAAAGTCAACTACATAAAAAATATGGTCTTCTAAATGTCACACACTTCTGGAAAGTTTGAAACAATTATGGTTAAACATTCATAAAATTTCTTTCAACTCCTGGTATGGTCAGTAATAAAAAGTTAGTAGAAGGCTAGAGACGAAACTTCCAATGTTTAGACTCGCTACTGAAGGGCTTTTTCTGTTAGAATTCCTAAGGAGATCGGACACAGTTGGAATTAACTTTTTATGGTGGGAACTTTTCAGGTATGTATTAAGTGAAGGAGATAATAGAAAGAAATTGTAGAGATTAAGTTTATGCTGGCCATTTACTATTTTTTGCGGGGGATGGAGTTTTGATTTTGTTGCCCAGGCTGGAGTGCAATGGTGTGGTCTCAGCTCACTGCAACCTCCACCTCCCGGGTTCAAGCAATTCTCCTGCCTCAGCCTCCGGTGTAGCTGTGATTATAGGCATGCACTACCATGCCTGGCTAAATCTCATATTTTTAGTAAAGATGAGGTTTCTCCATGTTGGTCAGACTGATCTCAAACCCTGACTTCAGATGATTTACTCTCTAAGGCCTCCCAAAGTGTTGGGATTGCAGGAGTGAGCCACCGCGACTGGCCTACACTGGCCATTTACTTTAAGATAAAAATTCAAGGTATTTTGCCACCTTCTGGCCTAAAAAAAAAAGCAATTTACAAGAAAAGTTTTCATTTAGAAAAACTGGCCTAATTTAAAACTGGTGTATTTGCCAGTTTTTAGACAGAACCTGCCCCAAAAGAGAAAAAATAAAAATTTGGATTCCACTTAGAAACTTTTAAAGAGAATAACAATAAACTTAAAAAACTAGTCCAACTCAAAAGAAATGAGAGAAATAAAAAAAGTAGCACTTACTGAATTGAAATCTAAAAATTGCTTGAAAATTAGTTGACTTAAGAATGAGGGTATATTAATTCTTTTTAAATTCATAGTAGTTAACAAAATTTCAGCAATTGCTTTTTAATCATTCATAAATGTATTTGCATATGATCTAATAAATAACATTCCATTTATTAATTCGCAGGTAATCTGTTTTCACTGTAAATAAAGAAGGTAATAATTTGTGGAATTTATGTTTATTTTTTCCAAAGTTAAAAAAACTAAAGTCACTGCATATAATTAATTAATTCTGAGAGGGAGCCTTGCTCTGTCACCCAAGCTGGAGTGCAGTAGTGTGATCTTGGCTCACTGCACCCTCTGTCTTCTGGGTTTAAAGGATTCTCCTGCCTCAACCTCCTAGTAGCTGGGATTAAGGTGCCACAACGCCCAGCTAGTTTTTTTGGTATTTTTTAGTAGAGACAGTGTTTCATCATGTTGGCCAGGCTGGTCTTAAAACTCCTGAACTCAAGTGATCTGCCTGCCTCGGCCACCCAAAGTGCTGGGATTACAGGTGTGAGCCACCACTCCAGCCCCACTGCATATATTTCAAATAGGTTTCATAAAAAAAATAAATCCATGGAAGAAATGAGTGTGTAAAAGCAGCAAGTCAAAGTGACATTTTTCTGGATGTCATGCTCTATGTGCCCCAATACTCTTTCTCTTCCCACCAATACACGTTTGCAGTTACAGTCGGCCAATTCTGATACCGTTACCTGCCTCCCACCCCCGACTGATGTGTCCTGAGTGTATTCAAGTTCCTTCTCTGGGTTTCACTCCCAATGAAGCTGAATGCCCTTTCTTCCCTCTCGCTCTAGCCTCTTCTATCCAGAGAAGTTGATTTTGTTCCTTTGACTAATTTACAGTATGAGTTCTCCCGGCCTCTTTTCTCTCCCCTCCCCACAAGGTTCCCATCAAGCCAGTAAAACAGCAAAACTGATTTTTGTATATTAATGTATTCATTTACCTGGTCATACAGAAAAATATATACACAGAAACTAAAAAGGATTGTCTTTTGCATTTGAGGATGTTGAATCATCTCCAAGTGAAACTTTGCGAAAAGCACCATTCCGGCTTCCCAGTCCCAGAAATGCCCATGTGTCATATAGAGAAGGGAATGGTTACTTGTGCTTCTAAACTTAAGCCTCAATTTACTTCCTGCACCAGGCATGCTGCCTTAGGGAATAGTAATATGTAAGCGATAATAATTTGAGTCTTTCTCATGCTGTGCACATGACACACGGCTCTTAAGTAATGAACCAGATGTTCTAGGCCTCCTCATAACACGATTTTCATAAATCAATAACTATTTTTAATGGTTCATTTATAGGTCAGATAGTGAATTATAAAACCTCTTTGGAGTAAGAGAGAACACCATTTGGGAAAAGCTTTGTAAAAAGTGGTAGTCGTCAGTGATTCAACCTTCTCTTTGCCGCTTACCTTTATACAGCATTGTCCGGAAGTCTTTACCTTCCCAGTAGCTAATGTTCACTCTTGTGAAAACATTATATTTTTCTGGGTAATGAATTTCAAATAGGACTCCTGTTTCAGGAGAAGGTTTATAGTCATATATTGAAACACTGGTTACAGGTAGAGGTTCTACAGAAGTGAAGTAAGTGGAGAAAGGGAAAAGAAAGAAGAGAAAGGCTGATATCAATACTTGCATGAACCAAGGATTACGCACACCAGAAATTCACCCATATTTTCACTCTCTGTGAGCGCCAAACGGTTCAGTACTCATGAATTGAATGTTCTTAGCAGCAATTAATAAAGTGCATTTTATACGGTGCTTTCTGCTTTTTGAAGAACTTTCACATTATATTCCTTTTTCAACAATACTGAGGTCTAGGAAGAGCAAATATTAATATCTCCATCCCACAGACAAATGTAATGATAACTCACAGACTAAATGATTTGTCTGAGGTAATTCAGCCAGCACATGGCAGTCTGTGTCTCCGGATTCCTAGTTTATTTTTCTTTTTCTCATGAGAAGGAAATTTTACATTAGTAACAGATCAGAAACAGAAAATAAATTTTGGCTCAGACCAATGATAGTTATGATTATTTATTTCTTCGTGTGAACATAGCACTTATTTTTTCTATATTAAGTATAAAATTTCAAACTGTCCAATGTTGTAAAAAATATATTATGTGGTGTTTATCAAGCCACTCTTTCTATAAAAGTTTAAAGAAAACATTTCTATTTTGCTTGAGTAGTTCATTCGCTGGAAAACTTTAAAAATACTCATTGTTTAAAATCCAGGGTCGATATGTATATCTCCTCCCCATCCCACCGTTTTGCGACCAGCCTGACCAACATGGTGAAACCCCGTTTCTACTAATAATACAGAATTAGCCAGGCATGGTTGTGCATGCCTGTCATCCCAGCTACTCCAGAGGTTGAGGCAGAAAAATCACTTTAACTCAGGAGGCAGAGGTTGAGGTGAGCCAAAATCCCACCATTGTATTCCAGCCTGGGCAACAAGGGCAAAACTCCATCTCAAACAAACAAACAAACAAACAACAACAACAAAAAAACAAAAAGAAAAGAAATATGAAAACAAGTACAAGTTAAAAGCCATTGAAACTCCAAAATCACTTTAAGCCTTGAGAAAGATGTGACTGTGATCAGAGTCACATATAGTCATAACTTCTGTTCTCAAATTACAGGTTAACTCACTTCATTTTTCTTGTTCTGTACAATGACTAGAGGGAATTAGATGATGTTAGGGACAAAAACCTCCTGGCTTCTTAATGAATGACCCTCGTTGTAGATTACCTTCCCACCTTCGCTGTTCTGCATTGCTTAGGTCGGATGACAGAAAGCCCAAAAATAACTATTAGACTCTGTGTAAAAAAATGTTAAATGTACCCTTCCCAAAAAAGAAACACTGCTTCTAACCAGTGAAATTTCTGTAACCATGCGTCAGCCTTGTATGAATGATTTTTTCTGTAATCCTGATAAAAACTTCCCTGTCTCTGCCTATGGAAATGAAATCCTAATTTCACTACTTCAGCGACTGACTGTATGCTTCTGAGTTGCTCTTTCCGTGTGGTCCAGCCTCACACTTTGTGCTTGAAAAAACTCTCGTTAAATGATATTCTGACCCTTTTGATGTTTTTAGGTTGACAGGAAAAAAAAATTTTTATTCAAAGTTTTAGAATTGATTGAGAGGATTCTTGGACATCATCTGTAGCCTAAAGAAATGTTCTTAGCTTAAACTTTACATTTAACAAATTTCAACTTTAATAACATGACAACTTCAAATTTGACTTAGTTCATTTAATAAATAACTATTGAATATCTAGTATATGCCTCAATCTGTAGCTGGATATATTTTATTTTGTTGTGCAGGGTCTTAATCTATCTTTGCTTTTGACTTTAAGAGACCCAGAAATAATTGAAGCTACATGTTAATGCTTTGATTTTTCCTAAGATTTTCTGGAAAACCAAGTCCACATCTACAAAAAATTAGGAAGGCCTTCAGATTCCAATATATTTTGTGATCATGTCACTGTAGACTATGTGCTATTGTCTCTGGTTAAAAAGTTTGAAGAATTTTCTCTTTGTTTCATCCCTAGTCTTCCTACATAAAGGTAACGTTTCAGAATGAACTCACTAACTCACTTATGTGCCATGTCAACCAACCAACCAACAAACCAACCAACCAACCAACCAACCAACCAACCAACCAACCAACCAACCAACCAATCAACCAACCCTCGAAGACTCAGTTTTGAGTTCAAAACTCCCAAATAACTTTCAAACTCTTTCAAGTTCTTTCTTTCAACCTAGCCTAATTTACTAACCCATGGAGTCTACCAGATCCAGCTCTTGACTCTGGCCCTAAGAGAACTAAAATGAAAGGAAACAGAAAGCAGCCACGGAGCAGTAACTCCTCCACTGCTGCAGTCCTGTCTCATCCTCATCAGGGTTGAAAAGAGAAGTTAGAAGGGCACTCAATCTTTCACGCCCTGAGGCATGAAGTCTGTACATCAAAGCCACGATCAAACTTTGAAATTCAAGACATACTGGAGGATTAGAGGACAGATATCTTGTTTTCCGATTTTTTTTTCTTTTGCAACAAGTTACTTTTTAAGAGAATGTCTAAAATGCCTGCTTACATGTTTGTTTTATATGTTTCTCTTAGCTTCAGTGTAAATGACCCAGGTCAGCTGCAAACCCTGTTGATGTCTAAGCGTGACTGCAGAGTATTCAATCCAAGAACTACTGTTTTTAGAAGAACAAAAAATGTATAGTCTAAAAATATTGTACTATCTCTCCAGTGACTTCCCTCATTATCTTTCTTTTTAGAAATTAAGTGCTGTGGTGTAAACCAGAGCTATAGTTACTAACAGGCATTTCAGTGATGACAAGGTTAAATCCTAACCTAAGTCGATGGTCCTTGCCCTGTCAGTCACTCCATTGTACTTCCCTTTCTTGTCTTAGGACCAGCCTGGACTGGACATAGAAACGGAGTTGCTGGAAAAAAGTAAATCATTTAATATCTTTGTTCATCACTTTCTTGTCTACAGATGTTTTAATTTTTCAAATAAATAAAGTATTAGAAAATGTAGTTGAAATTCCCCCATATAACTTACCCAAACCCCATTCTTTTCCAACTATAACCAGAAGTAAATTATTACTTTGAATCTGGTATTTTTCTTCTCATGCATCTTTTTAACATTTATAATTGTCAGCATCCAACATTGTTTCATGTTTTAAAATATTATGTAAATTATAACTATCATAATTTACTGTTGGGCTTGCTTGTACTGCCCAACTGTTGGGCTTGCTTGTACTGCCCAACATTGTTTTAGATTTATCACTGTTGATACAAGGAAATCTGGAAACTTTATTTTAGTGTTCATTTTGCAACTACACAACTTACACAATTTATCTGTGATTTTTTTAGTAGATTGATTGCTTTTAATCATTCACTCTTACAAATAATGCTGCAATAAATGTTTGTGGCATGTCTCCTTCGGTTGCAAATCCTGGATAGTGGGGTCGATGTGTCATGTGTATCAGATATTCTCAGAAAGTTTTCCAACTGGATTAGGGCAATTTACATATCTATTAGCAGTGTGTGATAGTTCCTCTTCCTCCATATTATTTTCCAACATTTGCTGACATCATCAGTCTTTTAAATTTTTGTCACTCTGAGGTGTGTGAAATTTTGTCTCTTTATTTTAATTTCCTGCTCATGAAGGAGATTATTTATTTTGTCTTTTTTTTTTTTTTTTGGCCAATCGGGTTTCCTTTTCTTAGAATTGTTAAATTCTTTCACATGTTTTGGGGTTCTTTTTCAGTCTTTTCCTGCTAATTTGTAACATAATCTTGGTCATATACCATATTCCCATTGTCATTTTTTTTTAACAATTGTGTCTTCAACTTTCCTTATGGATTTACTTTTTTTCTTGCTGAAATATATCTATCAACAGTTCTTTAACTTAGAGCTATGGGTGTTAGGTTTCTAGGCTTTGCATATTAGAAGTTTTCTTTATTTTGTCTTTCTTCTTAATGTGGTTTATTCTTGATGTATCTGGGTATAAAATTCTAGGTAGACAGGTATTTTCATCAGTACTTTGAAGATCTTTTTTTGTCTTCTTTCACCAGTTACTGCAGAAAGGAAGACTTCTGTCAGTAGAGTAGTCATTCCTTTGTAGATACTTTGTGTTTTTCCTCTTTTACCTTTTAAGCTTATTTATTTATTTTCATTAGCCATAATAATCTGATGATATATAATAATGATGATAATAATAATATACCATTATATATTTAGGCAGGGTTTTAGTTTTGAATTTCTCTATTAGGTGCTTAGTCGGAATGCTCTGTTGGTCTGTGAATTCATGTCATTTTTCAAGTCTTAGAAATTCTCTCCATTCTTTTTCTTTAACTCTTAAGCCTTCTTAGCTAGAGCCTCTCCCACTTCCATGCCTGTGAATTGCTGCACTTTGCTATATTATGGGGCAAATTGCACAGTATCGTCTTCTAATTTACTAGCTCTTTATAACTGTTATCATTAGAGAATTTGTCCCATCTACTGAAGCTTTTCAATTAGTAAACTTCAAATTTAATAAATCAAATTTATTTTACTTAGTTTGATGAATTAAATTTTAAATTAATTTAAATGATTATGTTTTCATTGATAAGAGCTTTAATTTATTCATGTTTATTCTATATGTTTTTATTTTAGTTCTGAAAAATTTTTTTGAAATAGGGTCTCATCACATTGTCCAGCCTCAATTCGAACTCCTGGAATCAAGGGATCCACCTGCCTCAGCCTCCTGAGTAGATGGAACTGTAGGCACAGCACTGCATTGTTTCTGCCAATTTTTTTTTCATTAATTCCCTGATTCAAAAAAATGGCAGTGGTTCTTACATATATGTCCTTGACCATTAAAAATGTAATTACATTTTTGTTAAATTGCTATTTAAAATATAATCTTAACTGTTATAGTTGTTTTGATATCAATCCTTTTTAGCACAAGTTCTTCGTGTGTTTTGAGACACAGGCTCTGGGCTCATTTTATGCTTTTCCATTCCCCCATTTCTCTCTTATTATGCCTTACTTTTGAAAGAATTGAGCCATTGC